CCCCAAAATCGATGGGGAACCCGATGGGAACCGGGGAGACCCCAAAAATGATGGGGAACCCGATGGGAACCGGGGAGACCCCAAAGGGAACCATGAAAATCCCAATGGGAACCGCGGGGAAGCCAAGGAGAGCTGTGGAGAACTCCAGAACTGTGCAGAACCCAAAGGAAACTTCAGAGATCCCAAAAGGAACAGAGAACCCAATGGGAGCCACGGAGATCCCAAAAGGGACAGAGAACCCAATGGGAGCCACGGAGATCCCAAAAGGGACGGAGAACCCAATGGGAACCATGGAGATCCCAAAAGGGATGGAGAACCCAATGGGAGCCACAGAGATCCCAAAAGGAACCACGGAGAACCCAAAACTGATGGAGAACCCGACAGGAACCGGAGAGAACCCAATGGGAACCACAGAGACCCCAAAACCCACAGAGGTCCCCTTGGAGACCCCAAACCCCATGGAGGTCCCAACAGAGAACCCAAACCCCATAGAGATCCCCACAGAGACCCCAAAACCCACAGAGACCCCAAACCCCATAGAGATCCCAACGGAGACCCCAAACCCCATAGAGACCCCCACAGAGACCCCAAAACTCACAACAGAGCCCCCAAACCCCATAGAGAGCCCAACAGGAACCCAAAATTCCATAGAGGTCCCAATAGAGGCCCCAAACCCCACAGAGACCCCAAACCCCACAGTAGAGACGCCAAGCCCCATAGAGACCCCCACAGAAACCCCAAACCTCATAGAGATCCCCAAGGAGACCCCAAAACCCATCGGGGTCCCAATGGAGACCCCAAACCCCACAGAGACCCCCCCAGAAACCCCAAACCTCATAGAGATCTCAACGGGGACCCCAAACCCCACAGAGACCTCCAAACCCATAAAGGTCCCATCAGAGACCCCAAACTCTCTAGAGGTCCCAATGGAGACCCCAAACCCCACAGTAGAGACCCCAAACCCCATAGAGACCCCAAACCTCATAGAGACCCCCACAGAGACCCCAAACCCCACAGAGACACCAAACCTCATAGAGACCCCCACGGAGATCCCAAAACCAATTGGGGTTCCGATGGAGACCCCAAACCCCACAGTAGAGACCCCAAACCACCCCACAGAGACCCCAACCCCCCCCCCGGGGGTCCCCGTGCCCCCCCCCAGGCCGCACCGCCGCAGCTGGGGGTCCCGC